TGTTTACTCATGCCTGTCATCCCAACACTTTGGGAGGCCGAGGCGGGCAGATCACGAGGTCAGGAGTTCGAGACCAGCCTGGCCAACATGGTGAAATGCTGTCTCTACTAAAAATACAAAAATTAGCCCGGCATGGTGGCGGGCGCCTGTAATCCCAGCTACTTGGGAGGCTGAGGCAGGAGAATCGCTTGAACTTGGGAGGCAGAGGTTGCAGTGAGCCAAGATTGTGCTATTGCACTCCAGCCTGGGCAACAGAGTAAGACTGTGTCTCAAAAAGAAAAAAAAGAAAATTAGCTGGGCGTGGTGGTGTGCATCTGTAGTCCCAGCTACTTGGGAGGGTGAGACGGAGGATCGCTTGAGCCCAGGAGGTCCATGCTGCAGTGAGCTACGAGTGTGCTACTGTACTCCAGCCTGGGCAAGACCCTGTCTCTTAAAAAAAAGAACTATCTCCTAGAGTTGTATAATTCTTAAACTGCTTGTGCTTAGTCCAATGCTGGGTACATAGAGAAGCGCTGATAAGCTGGAGCTGTAATTATTATTATTGTTGTTATTATTACCACCATTATTATTATCATCATTAACGAGTAAGAGATGGAATAACAGGGAAGCAGGAGCTGAGGAGGACAGATGGGGATTGTGTTTACAAGGTAAGAAGTGTTGGATATTACAAGGTGGGGTGCGGATATTGGGGTGGAGAGAGGAGGGAGAGACTGACTGAGAGACATTGAGAAAGGCTGATGGAAACTGGCCCCTCCTAACTGGGTGATGAACCCCAGTGATACGAGACAGTGGGAGAACCTGTGGCCCCTGGGAATAGAGAAGCAGCCACATTTGCTGGGCAGAGGTGAGGCGGGGGGAGGCTCCCAGGTTCTGTATCGCGAGCTGGGACTGGGGAGAGGGCTGTGGCACTCACGGATGACTTCTGACCTTGTGCTACCCTCTCCTCGCTTCCCACTGCTGCCCTGGCCCCTGGCCTGGGGGATGGGTGGGGTGAGCTGGCCCGGTCCCGCCCCTCATAGGTGCTCATACTCACACGTGCCCCTCCAGGGCTGCGTAAACAGGATGGGCGCCTGGGTCAGCGGCTCCCTCCCTTGGCCTTCCCTCCCACTCGTTCCCCGGGGGTGGCTGGCGCGCCCGGCCGTCCTGCTCCGCGCCCAGCTTTCTCAGCCGGGAGCAGCCCGAACGCTGAGACACCCTGCTGACCACTCAAAGGGCGACAGCCACCTCCCTCCCCAACACTGAGGGTCCCCCCGGGGGCTCTCCCCAGAATGTCAGAAGCTGACACGCAGCCAGTCTCTCTCTCGGGCTGGAAGGTGTGGAGGAACAACAGGGCAGTCACCTGTAGGTGGCAATGCGGGAGGGGAGAGGGAGAGGAGAGGCTGAGGTGCTGAAACCAAAAAAGGCCGACGATGGGCTATGCCTGTCACTCTGGAGCCCCTGAGCCAGGCTGGCTGAGCCTGGGTGGGTCCTGTCCCCTGGGGCTTCCCTGTCCTTACTCCCCTGGTGGGGTCCTGCCAGTAACTCCTCTTTTCTAAGTCTGCCCCCACCCCACCGCCTCCAGGAGCCACCGACAACCTGTCTCCTTGAATGCCCCTGCCCCCACCCAGCGCCCCGAATGCCTGGGGTTGGGAAATGGGAGCGCTTTTGCATCACCTCATCCGTTTCTCCCTCCCTCCCTGATGCAGTTCACTCTCTGTTTCGACAGAGACTCTGAGACTCACAATTACCGCTCATTACCCTATCGGTGGCTGGGCCCTGAGTCACTGAGGGGAGGGACCTCAGGTTGCCCAGCCCTGTCACCTTCTCCCAACCTAGTATAAGGAGTAGTGACAGGGAGGTGGACTCTGGGAAGGCCGGGAAGTTGAGGACAGGAGACAGAAGGCTGCAGACCCAGAGGGAGGGAGGACAGGGAGTCGGAAGGAGGAGGACAGAGGAGGGCACACAGACGCAGAGCAAGGGCGGCAAGAAGGAGACCCTGGTGGGAGGAAGACACTCTGGAGAGAGAGGGGGCTGGGCAGAGATGAAGTTCCAGGGGTCCCTGGCCTGCCTCCTGCTGGCCCTCTGCCTGGGCAGTGGGGAGGCTGGCCCCCTGCAGAGTGGAGGGGAAAGCACTGGGACAAATATTGGGGAGGCCCTTGGCCAAGGGACCAGAGGGGCAGTCGGCACTGGAGTCAGGCAGGTTCCGGGCCTTGGCACAGCAGATGCTTTGGGCAACAGGGTCGGGGAAGCAGCCCATGCTTTGGGAAACCCTGGGCATGAGATTGGCAGACAGGTGGAGGATGTCATTCAACACGGAGCAGATGCTGTCCACGGCTCCTGGCAGGGGGCACCCGGTCACAACGGTGCTTGGGTGAGTGGCTGTGGGGCCAGGTGTGGAAATGGGAGGCTGTGGGCTTCTGGGTTGAGATTCTTGGGAAACGGTTGAAAGGATGGATGGATCTCTTACTTGCAGCCTTCTGGGGCAGCTTTCTTCTATGTTCCGCCCCCCTCCTATGCCACCCTGGAGTCCCTCTGCCTGTCCCTCTCCCGGTCTCTCTACAATTTGCTCTGGCTCTTCTCTGTCAGGGTCAGAGATGGTCCCACTAAGTGCAGGTTTGTTATTCTTGCAGGAAACTTCTGGAGGCCATGGCACCTTTGGCTCTCAAGGTGGTCTTGGAGGCCAGGGCCAGGGCAATCCTGGAGGTCTGGGGACTCCGTGGAGCCAGGGATATCCTGGAAACTCAGCAGGCAGCTTTGGAACCAACCCTCAGGGAGCCCCCTGGGGTCAAGGAGGCAATGGAGGGCCACCAAACTTTGGGACCAACACTCAGGTAAAGTCACCCCCAGACCTGCTACCTGCCACCTCCCTCCCTCCAAGCCCACACACTCCACGTGCCTCTCTGGTCCCTCTGGATCCTACACTCAGTCGCACCCTCTCTGCAGGGAGCTGTGGCCCAGCCTGGCTATGGTTCAGTGAGAAGCGGCAACCAGAATGAAGGGGTAAGAGGAAGGGGCTGCGAACGAACGAAGAAGCCACTGGGTGCAGGCTACGGAGAGCTGGGGAAAGAGAAAGAGGAAAGCAAGATGCGGGAGTGGAGGGATTGGGGTGAGAGGAAGAGATGGGGCTGGGCGAGGAGTCTCACGCCTGTAATCCCAGCACTTTGGGAGGCCGAGGCAAGTGGATCACCTGAGGTCAGGAGTTCAAGACCAGCCTGGCCAACATGGTGAAACCCTGTCTCCACTAAAAATACAAAAATCAGCTGGGCGTGGTGGCGTGTGCCTGTAATCCCAGCCACTTGGGAGGCTGAGGCAGGAGAATCACTTGAACCTGGGAGAGGGAGGTTGCAGTGAGCCAAGATCGCATTACTGCACTCCAGCCTGGGCAACAGAGTGAGACCCTGTCTCAAAAAAAAAAAAAAAAAAAAAGGGAGGAAGAGACGGGCTTGGGTCTGGGCCCGGGAAGGAGGCAGATGGGAAGGGGAGGTGGGAGAAACATGTTAAGAGAAAGGAAGCCAAGCCCTAAAGAACGGGAGAGGCCTGGCCTGTGTCCATGCCCGAGGCCGACATCTCCAAACTCACTGTCCCCTTCCCTCCGCAGTGCACTAACCCCCCACCATCTGGCTCAGGCGGAGGCTCAAGCAACTCTGGGGTGAGTGGAGAGGGGCAACCCGGGAGTTTTGCACCAGGAGGAAATGGAAAAGTTCTGCTCCCCTTAGACTGGGCACCATGGAATTTGGCCTGGGTGGAGAGGGAGAGAAGTGGGGCCTGTTTTGGTGCTCTGTCTTTAATCCTGGCCCTGCTCCCTTCCTGCCCCTCAGGGAGGCAGTGGCTCACAGTCGGGCAGCAGTGGCAGTGGCAGCAACAGTGACAACAACAGCGGCAGCAGCAGTGGCAACAGCGGTGGCAACGGTGGTGGCAGCAGTGGCAGCAGTGGCAACAGTGGCAGCAGCAACAGCAACAATGGTGGCAGCAGCAACAACAATGGTGGCAGTAGAGGTGACAGTGGCAGTAGAGGTGACAGCAGCAGTGAGTCCTCCTGGGTGAGTTTGGCACCTCTGTGGAAGACTGAGATGGGGTAAGGCCCTGGTGGTCCCTGCCGGGAGAGGGCTCCAAGTTTCTCTGAAAGCTGCCGCTGCCCCAGGATGGGCAGTCTCCCTGGCAGTCGTCACTCAGGGGTTCCCTCAGCCTCCTGTTCCCCACCCATGCTGTGCCCCTGACACGCACACTATCATTTCTGCCAGAGCCACCCCACAGCTTCTGACTCTGTATCCCTATTTTCCACTCTGTGATGGTGGGGACGTTATCCCGCCTGTCTAAGCTCTTGCAGTCAAGTCCACTTGGCAAGTCTCAGGAGATCCTGGGGTGGTGGAGAAGAGAGGGGGACATGGGAGAATATGACACTTGTCTGGGAAGCTTCCAGGAGAATGGGGGCAGGACTGTGATCCGGGAGACCCACCGACGCTGACAGAGCGACGGTGCAGACGACATTCACACACGGGGCCCCTGCATGAGTGTGAGGGCAGGAAGGGGCGTTGTGACCCCGCAGCTGCCACCCCAGGGCCCCGGGCCTCACTGACTCCAGAGCCGGCAGTCCCTCCAGCCTCCTGGCCAATGGCCTGTCCAACCCCTTGGCTGATGGCGTCTCCCATCCCGTGTCTTGGAGTCGAGCTGGAGAGGGAGCCACATCTGGCTTCCTCGGGGGTCTGGGAAAGGTGTCAGACACGAGGAGGTGCATGAACACAAGACGCCAAATAACCTGAGCTGCTCTCATGCCCCGCTCCCCGTACAATCCTCTTCTCCCCCATCTAGGGCAGTTCTGGGAATGGTGACCAAGGCAGCTCCGGCAGCTCCCAGGTGAGGGCTCTCGGGTCCCTTCCACTTGCTGCCCCCTGGTGGCAGGATCGCGGCTGCTGCGCGGCCGGGCTCCAGGGGTTCCCACCCCTGGCCTGCGGTGGGCAGCAGCTTAGGTTCCCCAAATCATTGCATAGTTCCGAATACCCTCGGCCACACCTGGCTTTCTCCATGCTCAGAATAACTTTCTGCAGCGACCAACAGGCTAAAGACGGGGAAGGTGTGGAGGCTGGAAAGAGGACTGGAATCTGATTGGGGTTCCAACAAATCTGCAACACCGCTGGGAACGACTGGGTCCCCTTTAGGTCCTTTAGGACAGCGTTTGAAATCTTGCTTTCCCCTGCAGGGATCCAGTACCGGCTCCTCCTCCGGCAACCACGGTGCGAGCGGCGGAGGAAACGGACGTAAACCCGGGGTGAGTGACTGGCGTGAATCTCCCACCTACCGCGGGAAGAAAAAGGAGAGCAGCTGATGTCACTTGCAGGATCGAGGAGCCAAGGCTCCGCGGAGATGGGGCTGGATGGCCGCGGAGTGGAGCGGAAGGGGCTCGCCCCAGGGTTAAAATGCTCCCATTTGGGGGCTGGGACTGGTTTGGGAGGGGACTGAGAGAAAGCCTCCACTTTCTTCCCCCGGCAGTGTGAAAATCCAGGGAATGAAGCCCGCGGGACCGGGGGATCTGGGATTCAGGTGAGAGCCAAAGTCTCTTGGGGACTGCAGTTCCTGCCCAGGACTGCGCCCGCTCCTCCTAACTCAACTCCGCTCAGCCCCCTCCTGCCTTGTCTGCGGGGAACTATTTCAGCAGAAGAAACCAAAATGCACTCCTAAAAATGCTAACAATTTCCAAAGTACTAATTAATTGCAAATCTTGCTGTGATATACCTCACCTTATACCACAGATGGGGCTGGGAGAAATCCCATGTAAACCGATCCTGGCACAATTGTCTTAAATGTCCTCTATCCAGCCAGGGAACAGACTGTGGTGAACTCTGGGGGATTCAGAGTGTTTTGGAAAGAACATTCCCCCCAGTTATGTTGGAAATGTGGGCTTTATGTCAGCAACCGTGGTGCTGAGAGTTAGTGTTACTGAAATCTTGTGAAAGTGCGGGTTGCTCTAACAGGGCTGAGTAGGGCTGAGTAGGGCTGAGCTCCGCGTTGCTAACAAGCTCCTGGGTGAGGCTGGTGGGAAAGGACCCACCTGGCCAGGAGTAAGGCCAGACCGGAGGTGCTGGGGCTGAGTAGAGACAGCTCTTTTTAGATCATCTATGAGGGATACTAACCTTTTATGGGAACAAACTGGATTTTAAAAAACTTTTTCCCCATTTGTAACCCTTTTTCTAGTTTTTTTTTTTCTTTTTCCTTTTTGAGATGGAGTCTCACTCTGTTGCCCAGGCTGGAGTGCAGTGTGCGATCTCGGCTCACTGGAACCTCCACCTCCAGGGTTCAAAAGATTCTCTTGCCTCAGCCTCCCGAGTAGCTGGGATTACAAGCGCCTGCCACCACCCCTGGCTAATTTTTTTTTTTTTTTTGTATTTTTAGTAGAGACGGGGCTTCACCATGTTGGCCAGGCTGGTCTCAAACTCCTGACCTCAGGTGATCTGTCCGCCTCTGCCTCTCAAAGTGCTGGGATTACAGGTATGAGCCACTGCACCCGGCCTCTTCTAGTTTAATATACCACAGTTTTAAGTATATAAGTAGTCAAAAAGCAGCCATCTTTTCCTCTATGGTTTTTGCTCTTGGTGTACCGCTTTAAGGTTTTTATTTTCTTCTAGCACTATGCATAGTCCTGTAATTTCATTTTTCAGTTTAACTGGGATGCATCTGGACTTTGTTTTCCCGTATGCTGTCTAGTCCCACCCCTCCATCTAACCAGACTTATCCTACACTTTGTATCCGAGCTGTGTGCTCCTTTATGAGGGGGAAAACTGGTTAAAAACAGAGAGGAGGAAACTGATGAGCTAGAACTAAAATTTTCCTCCAAAATGCTTCACTGATATTCCCAGTCCCATGTATTCAAACACTTCAGCCACTGATTTAAAATGCCTCTTGTAAATACCTTAGTATTTTGGGGAGCTTCTGGGAATTCTGTCAGACAAGGACCATACTGCTTTATTTATGGTAGCTTTAGAGTATGTTACTATCTTCCTCTTATCTTCACTTACCATTTATCTTTTCCAGTGTTTTCTTACCTATTCTTAGACTTTTGTCCTTCCAAAAAAAAAAGTCAGTGTTTGAACCAGTTCCAAAAGACAGTGCCATTAGGATTGTTAGAGGAATCATTAAATCAATACATTAATTTTTGGAGGTGGCCTCAGGATCTTAAACAGGGGTCTGTGTTTCTTTGTCTCACCCTGCAGGACTTCAGAGGAGAGGGAGTTTCCAGCAACACGAGGGTAAGAGGATGGCAGACCTGGGGGCAGAGACTGTACCAGTAGTAAGTGGGATAGAGGTAGGTTCTCCAGGAGCAATACTGGCAGACAGGTGGTCCCACATCCCTGCCAGGTCTACATGAGAGCTCTGGGAACGAGGAAGTACTGATGGGTCTGGAATTCACCACCTTTCACAGCAGATAAAGCAGGACTCCAGAGGAGCCCACCTCTCCCTTAAGAGGGGACCAGCCAGTCTACTCTACGCCGCCTCAGCCCCTACTGGCTCTCCAGCTAGCATCCCCTTTTCTTACTAATGCCAATCAGCCCAGACAGGGTCCTTCAGTTTGAATCAATTTAGTGCAACAGCCTGGCTCACTCCAGCTCCAAAGCCAGGGGAGAATTCAGATGCCTTGCTGGCAAAGCCCTCCCTGATGGATTTTGGGTGGCTTGCAGAAAGGAACATAAACAGAGATGGCAATGCTATCTGTGGACATTGTAAGTGAGCAACCACCCAACCCACAGGAGCTCGAAATGAGATCGCAGGGCAGATGGAGCTTCCCTGAGACAAGGACCTCTTTCTCGGGGCTCTGGGAAGTCCTCTGTCATGCTCATGTCTCAGTCCCCCAATTCAGAAACCCCTCGCTGACACCCTGCTTCCCTGCCCTCTCGTCCCCCCACCCGCCTGCCTCCCCATCAACTCCTCTCCATTTTCTGTCTCCCTAGGAAGTAAGCAAAGAGGGCAGTCACCTCCTTGGAGGCTCTGGAGACAATGATCAGGTGAGCTTAGGGGCAGGCAGGGTTGGCTTTAGGAGAAGAGATGGTGAAGCATGCTAAGATCCTGGGAAAAGAAACAAAAATGTCAGTTTCTTCTTGCAAGCTGCTCTAAATCTGTGTCCAGTAACCATCAGGAGACCAAAACAGGGGTCTGGGATCCCCATCTCCCTCTTTGGTTCATTCCTTCCTTCCTTCCTTTTGATTTGGATCAGAGCCATGTTACTTTTGTAATGGGAAAAAACAGATAAAAGTAACAGAAGAATGGTCAAGGGGATTTCCATACTTAGGGAGGCAGTGTTGAGAAGGAGAAAGTCACTGAACTTTGAGGTAGAAGATGGGGTTTCAAAAGCCAGCTCTGACCAGGCATCAGCATAACTGTAATCCCAGCACTTTGGGAGGCTGAGGTATGGGGATCATTTGAGCCCAGGAGTTTGAGACCAGCCTGAGCAACATAGCAAGATGCTGTCTCTACTTTACAAAAAGAAAATAATAGGCCGGGCACAGTGGCTCACACCTGTAATCACAGCCTAGGATTTGAGAGGCTGAGGCGGGTCGATCACCTGAGGTCAGGAGTTCGAAAACAGCCTGGCCAACATAGTGAAACCCCATCTCTACTAAAAATATGAAATTAGCCGGGCATGGTGGCGCATGCCTGTAATCCCAGCTACTTGGGAGGCTGAGGCATGAGAATCACTTGAACCTGGGAGGTGGAGGTTGCAGTGAGCCGAGATTGTGCCATTGCACTCCAGCCTGGACAACAAGAGCAAAACTCCATCTCAAACAAACAAAAACAAAAAAAGAAAGGAAAATAATAATTTTTTTTTTTTTTTGAGACTGAGTCTCGCTCTGTGGCCCAGGCTGGAGTACAGTGGCACAATCTCAGCTCACTGAAAGCTCTGCCTCCTGGGTTCACGCCATTCTCCTGCTTCAGCCTCCCAGGTAGCTGGGACTACAGGTGCCCGCCACCACACCCGGCTAATTTTTTTTTTTTTTTTTTTTTTTTTTTTAGTAGAGACGGGGTGTCACTGTGTTAGCCAGGATGGTCTTGATCTCCTGACCTCGTGATCCGCCCATCTTGGCCTCCCAAAGTGCTGGGATTGCAGGCATGAGCCACTGTGCCCAGCCTCAAAAAAATTTAAGATATATGTTAAAAACACCACCAGCTCTATCATGTCATCTGTGTATCTTCAGGTAGGTCAGCTAACCTCTCTGAGCCTGAGCTTCCTCCAGTAAAATGAGGAAAGTGAAGCCTGACTCACGCAGCCTTCAGTTACCATACAGCTTTCTGTGTCACCACCAGACCACGGTGTTGTGGAGTCCAGACTCTGGAGGCAGATGCTGCATAATGCACGGTCCTTGGCGTGCCGTGGGACTGCGTGCCAACTAATCTCATTACTCGGGGTGTTTTGGGGACAGAAAAGGGTGAAGGCAAGAGTCTGAATATTGAGATTCAGGGGACTGAGTGGGGTTCCATGGGAGCAAGCCATTCTAAGAAGGCCTTCCTAGGTGAACTTTTAGGGGCTGTGTAAGGGAGAGAAGGCGGTTTTACAGAGAGGAGGACAGGAAGCCTGGACCGAGGTGGGGATGAAGCAATCCGGGGCAGGTTGACAGGTGGCAGGCATGATAGGACGCATAAGCCTTGGACATCGGTCCCCCTTTTCCCCACCCAGGGGCAAGGGTCCAGCTGGGGCAGCAGAGGAGGTGACGCTGTTGGTGGAGTCAATACTGTGGTGAGTGGAGGCGACACTCCACCTTGGGCTGGGACCATGGTGTCACGCAATCCTCGCCTCCCCTCCTGCCACTCACATCTCCCGCCTCTGGCTCACGAAATGGGTTCTTCGTCTCATCCCATTTCTCCTTGATTCCATAGAACTCTGAGACATCTCCTGGGATGTTTAACTTTGACACTTTCTGGAAGGTGAGTTCTGCGAGATGGCCCTGTTCACTTGCATTTGGAAAACCCCTGCCCTTGGCCCCACAGGCTGGGGTCCTCTTTCTAAACCAACAGTCAGCAGTGGCCCTTGACCTCTCTCAGCCAATTACCTTATGACTCAATTTGCCCATTCTTTTTGTTTCCTCCGCAGAATTTTAAATCCAAGCTGGGTTTCATTAACTGGGATGCCATAAGCAAGGTAAGGGCTGGAAGGCCGTGTGATCCCAATCTTCATCAGAGAGGGGTATAGGGAAGAAAGGTAAACCTCCGCTCGGTGAGCTGGGGAAACAGTGACGCTGGCTACTAAGGAAGCATTTAGGCCAGTGCTAAAAACAAAAACTAAACACACTGTGGGTGGAGGAGGGAGGACAGAGGAGGCCTGAAAAGAGGGGGAGAATCCAGAGCAGTTGGGATTGAGAATGAGCGGAGGGAATGGGCTTCTTTGCGGCTTCAACACATAGACCCGAGCAGGTCCCGAACCTCAGTTTCCCCTTTGAGATGGGGAAGATTAAGGGGAGAGTAGGTTGACTCCTAGAGGGTACACAGAATGAGGAGTAAGGCGGAGCTAAGACGCCCCGAGAGGATGGACACCCAGAGAAAGGAACCAGCAGTGGCCGACAGCCTCAGGGGTGACAGGCATTAGTCTCTCCCACACAAACAAAAACACAGCTGGGGTGCAGAACCCCTCCCTCCTTCCTCCCTGCCCACACTTCCCTCCTGCAGGGGAACCCCTGGCCAGGCTGCTTTGATACCTGAGTAGCAGAGGCACCTCTAGAGGAGAGGGGGCTGGACTGGAAGGGAGGGGAGGAAGGACAGACAGACAACCCACACAAACACAGCCCCGGCAGAAGCTGCGACTGCTGATGAGAGGATGGGTTTCTGAGCCACTATTTTTTTTTTTAAAGAATATGAATTAGTTTAAACATGGAGAGACTTCACATAATGATTTGGATTTCGGGTTTCTTTCAAAAACTTCGGCAACACTGGGTTCCATTTCCACGGGATGGGGTTAGGCGAGAGCTGAGAAACAGCTGCTGCTTGGCCCAGGTAGGGTGTGTTGGGAATAGGTGGGAGGGTCACTCTCTAGTGGCCAGACTGTCCCTACCTGTCACAGTCATTTTAGCCACCCAACTGGCCCCTGTGAGCAGTGGAGTTTCTGGCCTTTAATGTAAAAGAAAGAAGACTGGGCTCAGGAAAATCTAAGTCTGACGTTTTAGGAAGAAGGTTGAGGAGACAGGAGAGTGCAGATGTTCCCACCCAGCTACAGTGGATTCATGTTTTCTCTTTCTTTCTCATTTATTTATTTATTTATTTATTTATTTATTTATTTATTTATTTTTTGTGAGACCAAGTCTCGCTTTGTCACCCAGGTTGGAGTGCAGTGGTTTGATCTCGGCTCACTGCAACCTCTGCCTTCCGGGTTCAAGCGATTCTCCTGCCTCAGCCTCTCCAGTAGCTGGGTTTACAGGTGCCCACCACCACGCCTGGGTAATTTTTGTAGTTTTAGTAGAGATGGGGTTTCACTATGTTGGCCAGGCTGGTCTCGAACTCCTGACCTCCAGTGATCGCCCGCCTTGGCCTCCCAAAGTGTTGGGATTACAGGCGTGAGCCACTGCATCCGGCCTCTCTGTTTCATAGAGAACGGTTTCTGGTAGAAACAAGACTCTTTCCCGGGTCACAGGGAACTTAGGGTCTGATCGGGAGCCAGGGCACATACAGACACTTCCCAGAGAACCAGGACCGACACTGTGCCATTTTTGCCCATCTAGGGTGGCAGTCGATGGAATGATGGCAGTGAGGCAGGATTCATCTGGGCCAGCTCCTCAGGAGGCAGATCTCCTAGAAAGTGGGGCAGGGCAGAGGTGGGCAGGGCAGAGGGTGGAGCCCCGCTCTCCACAGTGGGGCGAGGGAGCTGAGGACTTCAGCCAGAGTGAGGAGGGAGCAGAGGGGAACACAGGGTAATGTTTCTGACAAGGCAGGGGGTTCTCAAGCCCACGCCGGGATATCTGGGTTTGTTTGGATAGCGGGGCAAAAAGGTCCCTGTAGATTTCCGGAGCAGGGGTCTTTTATACCCTTGCATCGGCTCATGATGTCCCGGAATTCCTGTTCCTCAAGCTCTCTCTTTAGAACCTATTTCTGGCCAGACGCGGTGGCTCACGCCTATAATCCTAGCACTTTGGGAGGCCAAGGCTGGCGGATCACTTGAAGTCAGGAGTCTGAAACCAGCCTGGCCAATGTGGCCCATCTCTACTAAAAATACAAAAATTAGCCAGGTGTGGTGGTGTGCGCCTGTAGTCCCAGCTACTTGGGAGGCCGAGGCAGGAGAATC